ACAACAACGACAACAACAACAACAACGATCACGACGACGACGACTACTACTACTACTACTACCACTACTACTACTACTACTACTACTACTACTACGACGACTGCTACGACCACTACGACTACTACCACAGCTACAGCTACAATTACAACCACACTACATTACACAACACAACACTTATTACACTGCAGTACGCTACAACTACAGCTACAAATACGACTACAACTACACTACATTACACAACACTACGCTACACTAATTACATTTCATTGCGCTACAGCTACAACAACAATTGCAACTACAACCACAACTTCAACTATCACTACATTACAGTACACTACACTTCACTAATTACACTACACTATACTACACTACACTACAACTACAACTACACTACTTTACACTACACTAGACTACACTACACTAGACTACACTACACTATACCACACTACAGTACACTACACTAATTACACCACACCACCACTACAGCTGCAACTGCAACTGCACTACACTAATTACACTACACTAATTACACTACAAATGCAACTATAACTACAACCACAACTACAACTACAACTGACTACATCCAGCAGTTGTGGTGAGGTAACCGCTGCAACCATTGTAGCCGCTCCAATAAACACAACTCCAACCACCGGTCCATCAGTGGATTCGCTCTGCCATCCGGGACTCACAACAACCAACCACTCCTATAGGTTTCCTATTGAAACTTCCGCCACTGTCTTGTGCGGCACTACTGGTATACACACAATTTTTTACACAGGTACACTTGCAATATAGTGCGTCCGACCCAGATTGCGACGCCAAGAAGAACCCTGGTTTTCATTCCTCCCTTCTCAGATGTATCAATGTATTGACAATATTTTCCGATTTTCCGATCACCGTATCTCTTAGTAGCTTGCACTGAGGCAACGGGCACATTCGCCAGGGTCCAGGTGCCCCAGGCGCATCAAGTGCCCCAGGTGCGCTGAGAGGTAGTTTCCTCATGGATATTGGCTCACGTTGGCTGTTGAGTTTTGAAACATTTCAACACAAGGTGCAACAAGGTATAACAAACCAGGTATAACAAAGGTATAGCAAGGTGAAGTGCATGGTGACATCTGTTACCAGAAGCACTATGTCTCTTTAAAAATTGTTTTGTGGTATATTAAATCATACTCAGCCATTTCTGAACTAAAACCTTGACATATTTTGAAATTCCATCATCCTACGCTTAACAAATACCATAATGTGTCAATGAGTTGTTGTTAGCAAGACAAGTGTACAAAAAATATTTCAAACATGACGAAGAGTATGTACATCCAGGTTGATGGGCGCTTCTGGAACGGGTTTTCCTCACAACCAGAAAAACATAGAAAAAAACATTTTTTGCAGGGCAAGGTATGAGGAACTGCTACTGATGCTACTGGCTAGTGAAAAACGACTGACCTTTCCCTGACCTGGAGGAGCAGGTGGGATCTATTTCTGTCCTCCCCCTTCGGGTCAAAATCTCGAGTACAGATAGGATTCCAAGCAGGTTTTAAGGAAACAATATGAACCCGCTGTCGGGAAAACGCATGAAAGTGCAAGCACGAGAATGCACTGCAACAAATTGGCAGATCATGATGTTCAAATATGTTCATGCAGTCTTGTAGTGGAGCTCACTTGCTGCTACTGTGCATGCAATGTCATTGTTGCTAAGATTCACTTTTTTGGCTAGATCTTTTATTACCAAACGTGCATCAAGAGAGGGCTGGTCGCCATTGCTCGTAGTAAAGTTATACGATTCTTCATCATTGTGTGCGACACATCCAACGCATCTTGATTTGTTGACATTGCAGCGCTTTCCATCGATCTATTGAAATTTATTGCATCAGGTTTTTGCCTAGTTTGGATCTTCAATGTGCGTAAGTAGATGTATAATTCAGTTCACTTGATTGGGGTTTCCTTGCAGCTAGCGGCTACTAGTAGGTCAGGTGGTTTGAAAGTTGTTGTGGATTTAAAGGCCTTCATTTGCCAGGAGGGACGGCTGCACAAGAACAAGTATGCGTCGCTGAGGCGAGCGAATTTATCATGTCGGATCAAACTTCAAAAACACATGTTGAAGAAGTACGACACATAGTGACATATGTGACATTGAGTCACACGATCTGGCAGTCTGGTGCCATGTCAGGGTGGATCAGCTGCCTCTTCCGCCGCCAAGGCGAAATTTGTAATTGGACATGCGGAAGGTTTTGTAGTGACGCTGCGCGGTCTTTGCACAGACTTTGATGTGACCATGAATGAAAAAACTGGCTGCAGGGATTTGCTGATGCCAACAAGAGCTATGATGTTGCCCGAAAGGCTTGGGTTTGACCCAGGAGACATCCAAAAGCTTGCATCATTGCTGGGACAAAACGATAGCAGATACCCATGATACATAATGCACATAAGCAAGCTTGACGATCTTGACACTATGCTGACTATGGATGTTGCATGATGTCAGAACCTGTGTGTCAGGGAAGATCTGCCGCCACCGCCGAAGGCGCAGTCTGTTTTGGAGAGGCGGGAAGGGCCAAGAGTTCTCGGAGCTTATTTGCTTATTTGATCTTATTAGATTTTATCAGATGGAAACTGGAAGCGAAATAAAACATGGGATACCAGACTGGATCGCAGCCAGAGGAGGCTGCTGCTTTTTGAGCTGTTTGGCCTTGACTCGAAACTCTTGTACAATGGGATGATGCGTTGCCGCAGAATGCTGCCGGGATCAGAAAAAAGGGATCCTAAAAAGCATCCCTGTTGGTGTCAGCCATGCAAGATTTGCAGTTTCTTGTCAAATAGATTGTGTTCGCCACCTTATTTCCATGTTTCTGCAAGCTCATTATAAATTATAACCTATTATCATAATGTATTATGACTCATAGCTGCTATAGTTCTTCTGACCACCTTTTCCAGTCTGAAATTGCGCAAGGCTCTTACACCAGGAGCATCAAGAGGCGCAAGGGAAGCAGATAGACTCAGATAGAGTTCATTGGAAGGGATGAAAATTGTTGGAAGTCCATTTGAACGTTTGAACATTTGATGCACAGATACATCGTTGACGGAGTGCCTCTACACGCCTATCATTGTTTATAATTTCTCGTCAAAGCTCTTGGTAGGTTCTGTGCGTTAAGCAGGTTTGATTCTCTTGCACTTTCTGTCTCCAAAGCTTCATAATTTGCGTCTCTGCAGTTGCAGTTCAACGGGACCGCAAGAGACTCCAACGGTGTTTTTCTCGACAAGACCAACGGAAGGCAGGTATGAGGGCCTCAGAGAAACGAAGTCTCAGAAACCGAGAACAGGTCAATTGAAATGTTCAAATATGTTCAACTGTTATCAACTGTTATCAACTGTTTAGAATCATTTGGAAGTCTTAGGCCTTTCATTTCTAGATGGCTTTCCGTCAGCGATTATTTCCGGCAAGAATAGAATCTGAATTGAGTGTCAGGCCTCCGATACCGCCTATGGCATTGCAACCATCGCTTGAACCATGGCTTCAGTGCAATCAATAGCTGCAATAGCCCAAAAAATCAGAGGTAAAGGATGGGAAGCACTGTGAAGCCCTAGTCGAATGGGGTCTCAGAATGTAATTGCAAGACGAACGCTACATGTAAAGGGTATCAGAAAGATTGCTTGACTTCCCATCCTTGTAAATATATCCGGCGTCAGTGCCAAAGTGTGTTGATCAGCCTGTGCTAAATGACTGCATTTTCTGGTCCACAGCTCTCGGCGACTGCGTTCCCCGAGACATTGCGCAGCACTATAGCTCTGTTCTTGTCGAAGCTATTCGTGGTTTTTGTGGCCAGCCTTCAGTTGATAAACGACTCGTTGCATGACGTTGTAAGCCTAAATGAATATGAACGCTGGTTCCGGTACCAATACCGGACAGTCTGAAGGCAAAGAAAATGACACGGCATCTAGGAATGACTCAATGACATGGTATGACATGAGCCCTTTCAAATTCTAAACCCATGGCAAACCATTCAAAACCTGCGGGCTGGTTTCTTGGGCTGGTTTCTTCATGGCTAAGCTGGTGCAGTGAAGTTTCCCCAGCTTGGTGCACCAGGTGCGTCAGGTGCATCAGGTGAACCTCACTGATTCTGAATGAAAACGACCCGACGATAACCAACGAACCGGGAGTAAGTTGGCTTCATTTGGCTTCCAAGTCAATGGAGTCAACGGTTCAAAGTCAATGTAGCGACGTAGCATGACGTAGCAGCACGGTGCGTCACAGTGCGGTTCAAAGAGCATTGCTGCGGCGTGCGCCTGTGCATTCCTGATCACGCAGCTTGCACACTGAGCACACTGGCCATATCTGGCCATCTATATAAGCAGAGCATGCCAGTCTCTCACTGCGCTTCCCATTAGCACACATGCTGTATGTTTGGAGTGGTATAGTAGTGGTTCAAATCACGTTTGAGTGCAACTCCAGCATTTGAGCAGAATATAGTAGAATTGCAAGTGCAACGGGGAAAACTTACCTTCTGCGAGGACTAATAGTATGGATGTTGCAACAGTGGAGATTTTACCTACCTACACGATGCAGCTCTTGAACATGACTAGATGCATGGAAGCGACTGCATTGGGCTGTTGCTCCATGTTGTTGCATGTCATATTGTTCCATGTTGTTACTTCTTTGGATAGGGGGGTCTCGCTAGTCACTCTCCGTTGCGTGTGTGCTCTCGCTGGATGGTGCATGTGGTGGGAGAGGAACACGGCGGCTATTTTGTTGTTCCAATGCTATCGACAAAGAGAAACATCCAGCGGAGGCTGAAACAACTCAGGACTGTTTTGATATGTCTTGATTCTCTTGCACGTGAGCTGTAGAATGCTGTAGAATGCTTTGCTAGAGTTTTTCACAGTAACTACTTGAGATGTCATTGTCCTTTTTGAAATATGATGGCCACGTCCAAGTCAGTGGATTCGTGTGTAAGTCGCATCAACCAATCTTGACAGCCAACATGTGCAAATGTTGATCAAAATCGATTTCTGGAACCCTGAAGCGCGTGGTGCGCTTGGTAGCCATGGCAGAGATGGTAGATCCTGGTGATCCATTTGATGTGCAAGAGGCCTTGGCGGCCTTGATTGTCTTGTCACAGAAAGTGATGTAAACACAATGACAAACAAAAACAAAGAGATGCGTTCGCCTGACGTTTGGAAGACTTTCTGATGTTTTAACACTTTTTAGGGTTCAGGTTGCAGTCCACAAAGGAAGCAATCTCTCGTGCCCTCAGGGTTCCTCACGTTTGTAACTTTAGTGTTCAATCCTTGAATTTGCTTTTTAATCACATGACCCTGTCGATGCAGTCTCCAACCTTTTGCTGCATGTCAATGAATTTAGATGAATTTAGTGAATATGTTCTCATCTCAGTCACACAGTGTGTTACTCCAGCACACATGTCTACTTCTGTAATACACTGTTCCACCAATTGGACTCAAAACAGTTTAGATGCTCATGCAAGCTTGGCTTCCCTTTCCATGTCGAGTACAAACTAGAACCACATGAGTAAGCACTGTCCAAAGTGTGCTTCGGACGAGAGTTACTTGCAGTTTCCGCAGGCAATCTTGCTTGAAGGAGAAGATGAAGAAACATTCAATCGACTTGTCCAGGAAGCTGGTATGAAAGACCAGGATGTGACAAATACTTTGATGATCTTTGATGTACTCTAAACTACTACCGAATGAATCTTCATGTATACCAAGCCAGAAGGTATGGTTTTGAATGTTCATGCTTACATTTTTTGTATTTTTTTGTATATCGTTGCCACAATGCGCTAAGTAGTTTGACAAGTATTTGTCGGGAGGCTCGCGGACAAAACTCTTGCTCTGATCTGACACACAGCAGCCAAGGAATTGGAGCTTCGACCGCACCTGGCATTCCCTTTGGCTCAGTGGTGACTCAACTGCCAGACAATTTTTGTCCGTTAATGCTCATTACTGCTTCAGAATGCTTCAGATATCCCTACCCTCTTAAAAATGGAATTTGAGGGGGGGGAGCCGTACTGAAATTTCATTTTAAAATTTCATTTTTGCAATCATGTTTTCTCAATGATCAATATTCCTCATCATTCCATGTCATTGGCAAGCAGGTGAAAATTAAATACTTGCGCTTAGCTCCGGAGGAGCTAAGCACATGTCAGACTGAAGCAGCACATGTGTAGGGATGGCATCCCTCAAAAAAATGGCGCTGCCGTGATCATACTTGCGCTTAGCTCCTCTGGAGCTAAGCGCAAGTATTTTCTAACCAGCTCCCAAGGCTTGTTAAGAAATGTTACTTTACAATTCCATTCGAGGGGCTGGATCACTATCCCAGGGTTTCCAAGCAAAAAAAAGTGGAATTCGACAGGTTGGTTTTGTCCCACCCCCGCCCTCCCCCTCTATAGGGGTAGGGATCTTCAGATGTTCAGGCATTTGCACATGATGCACACAGGCTACATGCCACTTGATCCAAATACCACTTACTTTGCCATCTTTGCCATTTTTGCAATTTTTGCCTTGATTTTGCCTCGAGGATGATCCCTCAATTGACCTTTGCACCTTCAAGTGCTGTGAGTGGTGCCGGATCCCACCGTTTCATCGGGGTCATCCACTTCCAGCATCAGAGACTTGGATTTGTGATGATTTGTGGATATAATATTTGTGGCAATCTTGACAAATGTGACAAATATATGCAAATATGATCACATATGATGAGATACTGTGATTCTTTGCGTCTGACTGTGATGATTCGTCTTGGGACTTCTGCACATGTCTCTGCTGGAGCTGCTGGAGTTGAGCTCCTGAGTTCGTCAGTGCCAATGTGTGTTCCCACCTGCCCCCACTCTCCTGAAGACTAAGTAGGTTCAAGTGGCGTTTTTGATTGTCGAGTTGTACAGTACCCTCAATCGGAAGATTTCCGAACTTTCCAAGACTCCGTCTTCTTGCTTTCAGAATTTGGTCCTGCGTGTTTGGGCTCCAAAGGTCCAAAACAGATTTTAGCATTAGATTGACAATCAAGAATCAAGATCAAAGAGATTCTTGCCATGCATGCGAAACATGTCTTTCAGAAGTCTGTCTTTTCTGATGTTAGCAGTGAGGAAAGGGTTCAGCTTCATTCGCTCGAGGGAAGCAACAGAGGCTTTCGGCAATCAACTCAGTCTCAGCATTTAGTGCAGATCCTCAAACTGAGCATGACATAGCATGACTATATGTAGCATAGATCCTTGAAGGAAACAATTGATGAAGAGATATTCGTTGAGCACAGGCTGTCCCATTCAAACCTGTCAGACACACGGGGCGAATCCAATCCGACCTAGGCATGGACGTCTTCCTACATTCTTCTCAAAAGGGAGATTTCAACTTGAATGATCAGGCAGGAGTGGTTCGCGACGGTTCATTCGGATAGGTTCCTCTTAAAGTCTGCAGCTTATTCCATCAAGAAACTTGGCTTTTCACAATGCAGCACACTGGATGCACAGATGGAAATAGCAGGAATGATCACCCAGAATGATTCCACTAACCAGCAAAAACATTTCAGTATAGGACTATACACAATACATATCAATACATTATGGCAAACGAACAAATCACTATGGCGCTGTGACACCGCAATGTGCCACAGACGGCAAGGTCTGTTTCGCTGTGCTGCTGAACAAGGATGGAAAGCCTCAGGCTTTCGACTTGCCCAGTGGCTGCAAGGGCTGTGGGTTGGGGTGTGGTAATGATATGTACATGTCGTGCACGTGTTCTAAGAGTTGTGTTTACTACTACGTATTACTACCAGTTATTACCATTATTAACCATTTTTTTAACAGAGCACTATCATCACTAGCTTTGTGATAGCTTGTGGAGCTCCTCTTTCCGTTGCGGACAGAACGCAAAAACCAGACATAAAGGTATCATAAAGGTATCATAAAGGTATCATAAAGGTATCATAAAGGTATCATAAAGGTATCATAAAGGTATCATAAAGGTATCATAAAGGTATCATAAAGGTATCATAAAGGTATATAATTTTAATGATTCATATTGATTCATTTGCCTCGGTGATCTCAGGACGAAGCCCACAGAAACAGACATTGCGCGATGGGGTCATGCACCGAAAACAGTGGAGGTGTGGGACGAAAGGAAGCTCCTCTTCAGATTGTGCTGACTTTGTTGGGACCATTTATCCCATGCAAATTTACCACATTTTGATCTTTTGTAGTGCTGAGCGGGTCGTCGACCTGGGTGACACTTCGATTTTGTGATACTCTTTAGAAGAGTGTCTAGTAGATGATGTGTAGTGTAGGCTGTCTTGTTTGATCTCTGTGTCGGGATGGTTGTGGTGAGTCTTGACTTGCGTTTTTGTGTTTCAGGGGTGGGTTCCAGCAAGCGACAGCTGGGAAGAGCCTCAGAAGGGCCTGAACGAGGCCAGGGTCGGGAGGATTGGCGGAGAGTTTGGAGGAGAATTGGGAAGGCTCCGGATTCATCCGGATTCCGGATCGCATCATATCATATCATATCGCATCAAGGAATCGGCACTGTCCCTTCAGATCTGAGAGATGAATCTGGGAGCAGTTTCAAACGAATGAAACGCATGAGAGATTCTAAAAGGCATTAAAAGGCACAGGGCTTGAATAGGCAGTTATCAGATGCTATCAGTTGGAGCTGAGTCGAACCATCCCCTTCCCAGGAGAAGGTTCAAACTGGAGAAGGAGAGGGCAGAAACTTAGCGTAATTTCGAAAATGATTTCCCAATCCATGATGTCCATGTGATCAGTATGCAAAATGTTGTTTACATTGTGAAGCTGTTTCATGCTCTTTGCGCTTGCATTTCCTGAAACAAACACAGCAATGCCCTGCTTCGTGTCTCACGCTAAGGATATACCGGAACGATCTCCGCCTTCAAGCCTTCACTGTACGGCTTCATAAAGTGTGCAGAGCTGCCTGTCAAAAGTTCTGTTCCCACAGAAGGAGCTTTCAATCTCACTGTATCTCCGTCACGACCAAGACATATCCAGATTTGCTCAGTTTGCAAAATACATTCATATATTCTCATCATTTCTCCTGACCTTCCATAACACCTGACGTGTACACCAAAATCCGCCCTGAAGATTAAAGCGTGTGGCCGTGTGAAGGGTCAGACTCTACCACCGAGGATTTTCGCGCAAACCCAAAATGATGTTTGGGTCCATCACAAGCAGATCCAGGATTTCAAAGTTGGTGCCGTGGACTTGAACTTGTTAACTTGTTCACACCAGAGAGATTCACCAGGCAGCCTGGGGCCATGGATGGGTCTCCAAATGCATGAGCCTCTCTCAGGTGACATGGTGACATTCACCGCCATCGCCAACAAGAATGGTCAACCGCAGCTTGTCAAAAAAAAAGCACTTGTGGAAAACCATGGAAAACTAAGCAAGGCATGTGATGTGCAGGCGTATGTTAATAGCTCCTCAGAAATCAACTGGAACCAAGATGAACCAAGCACAGGACACGCCGGATATCCTGAGGTGTCATGTAGGCGTTGGTGCTGCTGCTAGAATTACAATCTTATATGTTAGGCCAATGTGTTTTGGGGCAAAGGAGCAATCCAGCGCAGTTTAAATGCATTGCAGGTTTGACCTTGAGATCATTGCCTGCCAGCTTGTGATGTTTGGGCTAATTAATTGCTGTACACCAGTACAATGAGGATTGGGTATGATTATGATTGGTTAATGATTCACTCTGGGATACACAGTGTATAGTATATTAATGTATATTAATGTATATTAATGTATATTAATGTATATTATAGATTGTTATAGTGTGTGATCAAAATACACCTCGCTGAGGTCCTCAGACTGAGGTCACTGTTCCAATCCGTTGCAGCTTCTCGTTCTCAGATTTCCGAGGCAAGCTATTGATCTGCAAGCAGCTGTGCAAGGTCAAGTTGTACCTGTGACCTGGCCTGTTGGAGGAGGTGAAGATCTGTTGAGTATTTGTTATATATGTATATAAATATTAATATTCTATAAATAAATTATATGTTCTTTTACATAATACAATTATTTATGTGATATATGTACATAATTAAATTATCATTATTATACAGTATATATATTATATACTTGATTATATACTGTACTTATGATATTTATGTATTTTGGATAGATATCAGATGAAGACTGTATTAGCATGATTGCATATGTGCGTTATTTATTAGAGGGAAGGAACTCAAAGAGATAACATGCGCGTAAGCCAGCTGTGGCGCGTATTTAATGAGATCCACTATGCTTTGTCCCAAGTTGCATGCCATGATGGAACAAAAAAACAGGCATGCAAGCAGAAGTAAAGCCACTGCTGCAGCAAGAGACAGCACCACACAAGGGTTGAACGACACGGTTGGATCTTTACTCAAGAAGGGTTTTGCCGGAGACCACTTTCAAGATCATTGGATAATGTACAGTAGTCTTGCAGTGCAGCCTGCAATTTATGGTATTTATGTGTTGTGCCAAGAAAGTTGGCATCTCGGAAATAGCTGATTGGCAACAAGGTGAAGGAATTCTATGCAGAGATTGCTGATATTGCAAGGTTTCATCGGACATTGCAGGTGTGCTCTCAAATGCCTCAAATTCTAAGAGGCTAAGGGTGTCGCGTTAAGTCTTTCGATTCATGTCGGTATGCGTATCAGTTGTAATTATGTCAGCAGAAGCAGTGACACTACCACCTGCTTGGTATTGCTTGGTAGAGGGCAGCGACTTCCAGGAAGAGAGAATTATGGTTTACATTTTTTAAACTTAGTGACTTTGTGTTTCTTCTTTTTCAAACAGATCAAAAAGACTCCGTGGAACTGACTGGAACTGCAACTTGCTTAAATTTGTTGCAATTGTGCGATTCATGGGCTATGCATATTTTTGGCCTTCTGAACAGCCTATAGAACAAGGGGTGCATAGGGGTGCATAGGGCTCCGGTTCAGATTTGGTTTCTGACTCCGATGGTTTTTCCATGTTTTTCCATCGGAGTTCTTCGAGGCGCGAGCTCCTCCCAGGGCTCAGACAGTGCCACCGAAAGAACCACCAAAGCAGGTGCCGCCAAGGTGGGACAAAGACGGACAAAGCGTTTCCTTGTCGAAGTCAATGAAAGATATGAAAGATATTGAAAGATACTTAACAAATAACTTAACAAATCTTAACAAAATTTGAAAGTTGGATTTGCCTAGAATGAGAGATCCGCATGGAGTCTGCTGAAAATCCGAAATTCCACCTTTAAAGTTACTCCGAAAAAGGCAAAAAGGCAGTAATATTGTGCACTTGAAGGCCTTACTGTACTTCTGTGTTCACTATTGTTCATTCCAAGAGTAGTACGATGTAGTACTGAACATGCTGTACTCAAAAATGCTGAGGTCGAACCCATAGTCTTTCACTCTCACAGACACAGTTGGAATCTGTATCGACATACAACTTACACTTATATACATGGAGGATTCTTCAACACTTTCTTCAGACCACCAAACATACAATTTACCAAAATGACGAGAGCAGAACTCACTGTCTTTATAAAGAGAAAACGACTCCACCAACAAATATTACACATCATACAGACAGGACTTATTTTGCAGACTTGTTTGGTTTGAAGACTCCCAGATCTCAAAGCGTTCAGATAATGGCCTTGTGGTCAAAACCTCGAGAATAGTAGTGGTGAATGATTTCTTAGTCCTTTGGACCTTTGACAACTAAGTTTTGAGGTCTAGGAGTTGCTGATTGTATGTAGCTGAAGCATGCTGAAACTAATTTGTCAGACTAATTTGTCATATATAGCCATGTTACATAGCTTTGGTCTTAGTTGGTCTTAGTGTCTCAGTTTTGGTTAGCCAGATACATGAAGCAACATATATCGCAAGACTGCACAGACATACAGCACGTGGCTGTTCTTATAACAAGATACTGTAACAGTAACATCCTAAGCTACGTGTTTCCAGTATAGGCTGCGTCAAATACGTCAAATTGTACAGTGTCAAGCCAGAGCACATTGCATGGCATTGCCTTACAATTTTGCGCGAAATTAAAACAGACGCAAAGCATTGCGACGTGAAGAAGACCACACTGCACAATGTAACGTCACGTTGCCTCCATGACAGTCTGGTACGTCGCATCTCATCATGTCATGCCACATCTCAGCATGTCCAATCACATCCACACACACAGACATACACACCATTACACACCCATAAGCGTCACAACCATCTATCTTTCTCAAAAATACCCACACACGAATTCATGTGATTCTGGTTCTGTTCCAAGTTGGACTGTTGAATCTTTTCGAAAACTCCAAATTCTTTTCGCTCGTTTTGCCGCCTTTGAGCTGTGCAGACATGGCTTTGCAGTGACTGCGAAACCTGCAGGCTTGGCCTGGGTCACGGCAAATGCTCGGATTTTCTGTGGGTTTGGCAATAGTTTTGCATGTTTTTGCATACTTTTGAGTACTTGCTTAGATGGGAATTCCACATTATTCATTCAGGCAAATCTAAAGTCTTGCAAGTTTCTGTCCTGGTTGATTGTCAATGTCAAGGCACAGATCGCAACAGTTGTCCGCAAATTGCTGTGAGATCCCAAGTCTCATTGTCAACCATGAATTGTTTATGCGTGTTTAATAAAATACAGTTCAATGGCAATACAGATTCAAATAACGGGCTGCAACGTTACAACGTTGGCGAACACGACGTGGTCAGATGTTGACCAATGCTGTATGCATAGCCGCATGGCTGCTATTCCTAATCCCTAAGAGAGGCACCCACGGCGAGAATTGCCAAACATCGCAGTACAGATGAACACCAAGAAGGCCCCCCCTCTCACCATTTCTCAACCACACCGACAGAACAAAGGAAATGCATACCGCATTTGGTTCCCAAACAACCTGAATTGCAGCAACAAATTGAAGCAGGCTGCGAATTGCAAGATCGCTCCAGTCAGACCCTCACATTCTTACACCTCTCAAAACATTTGCAACATGCTGTGGTTGCAGGACAATGACCAACTATCCATAAGTCCAAAGTGAAAAGTACTGGAAAGATTTGGGCGATAGGTTCCAGGATGTTCCGGGTGTGGACTGTCGTCAAAAGTGCCACAATTCCCATGACATTTGAGGCCTGAGAAAAAACATCATTGCACCTGCACCTTCGTCCTACCCATCCAAGACCACACCAAAGCATTTTCCATGCAAATGGATCGTGAACACAGCATTCTTTGGCAGGGGCCAAAGGAATCGTATTTGATGCATTTGCCGCCCATTTGCTGCCTATTTGCCGCACTTTTTATTCATAGTTTGGAACTATGACAACTGTGTTTTCATGCACATGACAAGGCCTTCTCAAGAATCCAATTGAGCATTGGCCGCTCATTTCCGAAGCGTTTTTTCTTTAACCTGTCATTAGCTTTGTTTGGCAGACATACTTGCTCTGCAGATGTACCCGTACCAATAAACATGCCCAAGCGAAGATAATTATACCACAACTAGAATTGAAACGATTGAAAACACCAGCTGACACTGCATACCAAGGTCTCAAGCATTTGATGCATGTGCATGGGATTTGCACGCATGAAGCTACGAATGGTCGGCGGATGTCCAACTGTGTATAGTGTGAATGAGCCGCTTGTCACCCACTCTGACCCTGCAAGGTGCACCTCAGGCAACTCCGTGACTTGTCAGACATGGTGCGATTCTTCATTCTTAAATTTCTTAATCATGCTATATCATGCTTAATATCTGAACATCTTGATTCGCTTATTGATTCACTTATTGTCTTATTGTGAGACACCATGAGATTCGCTCAGCAGCACATGAAGTATATCAAGACTCACACAGGTGGACTTCAAATATTGAGATAGATTCTAGATAGGCTGTGCTTCAAGCTGTTTTGATTTGTTTTGCACTGCGATGATCTTTGGGAAAAATCCGATGGAAGGCGATGGGATTTGGTTTCGGATGTTTCGGATCTGACTGCTTCTGACTGCAGTGACTGCAGTGACTGCACTGAGGATTGGTGCGCGGAAAAGACCCGCCGACTATTCGCCTCCTGAAGCTGACCCGACTGACCCGACTGGGTTAGTTGGGAGCCGCCAGTGTGGAACCATCACAGCTTGGAGGCAGCCAAGGGATCAGACGCAAGATGAACACACCAAAGGAGAAGCAGAAATCGAGATCACCTGATGATGATATATTAACTTTCAATATGATCACATGGTGTATTTAGCAGACTTATATAGAAGATCACAGATCTGGCTTCAGCAGTTTGGAACAAGCGGCCTAGAATAGAACCCTCAAACCTCGACCTATTCTGACAAGATGCAACAGCCTGGTCGTGGGTTTGAGCTTTCCAGCTCTAAAGATGATCAAGGGTGCACAGTTTCAGAATGTTCTTTGGTTCTTTTGGTTGGCATGCGGTCCAACGATTATTGATACATATTGATACATATTTATACTATATGTATATTATATATTATTTATTATATATATATATCAATATCTATATTATTTATACAATTATAAATTCATTTTGGCAGTTTCTGACTTCCTCCAGGCCAGGAGGCAAGTACGGATTCTTGAAGTGTGAAGAGACCTTTGCAGTATTTCACAAGGACTGATAATTTCCAAGATGCAAGCTTGCTGCAAGCACATCGCAATGGTTCGAAGAGGCTTTTGAAAAGATTCCAGACAACTTCTTTGAGCTGTGAGCATTATGAGATATTATGAGAGTATGTGCAGTCATGATGGCAGTCATGTATCTTGAAGATCCTGGAAGGATTGCTGGGTACATCATCAACAGATTGGTGGATTCAATGAAGGCGACACGGTCAGCTTTACGGTTGTCATGAACAAGGAGGGCAATCCTCAGGCCTCGGGGCATGCAGGAAAGCACCAGTTCTACACTGGCCTGCTCTCCAAAAAAATGCTTGATCGTTTTGCAATACATTGCATGCACTTCTTTGATGAATGTATTTGATGTTTCATGCATTTCATGCATTTCATGCATTTCATGCATTTCATGCAGATGGCTTCCTGACATTGATGCGCATTGGATGATCTGCTTATATGTAGAATGCGTTCTGTTTTTTTGGCATTCTTAGCACTCCGGACACTCTTGACTTGGTGCCCCTACAGGCTATCGACTTGCAGGCTGAAGACAACAAACGCGTTCGGCAATGACGTCTCAAATGAAAAAGAGAAGCCGATAACTTGGTAATGGAGGGTGAAGTATGTTGAAGTCAAAAAGTCATGCAGGGCTGTAATGAGGGGGTGCTGAGAATCTCTCCTTAGAATACGTACTTAATCAGATCCTAATCAGACTCAGACCCTGGTTGTGATGCTAGATGTTTCAAGAGCATGGGGCACTCTCCTTGTTGCATGAAGCAGTGGCTGACCACGCTGCCTGTAAGAACCTTGCTTTGAACCTTGGTTGGATGCTCCTTGTTTTTTTTGTGTCTATATATTTATGTTTTTGCGTCTCTTCATGTCTCTTCAAAGGTACTCGTAGCTTTCATGATGTTGGCATGCACAACATGTGGTCATATTTAGTCAAGGATCTCAGTGAGCTTTGCATGTGTGTTTGGTAAAGGATCGCAAAGGCAACTGTGATCTCACGATTCTAGTAAAGTAATGTAAAGTATTTGTTTGGAGTTTTGGACCATTTTGAAACTGCTTGCAGCAAGTTGCGTTTGGCTCATTCAGAAAAAGTTGATACGGTTGGGACGGTTTGTGTCTGCGGGACTTTTGCCAGGTCCTTGCGTGTGAGTCGCTTTTGACATGGGTGCAATCACCAAATGCACATAAAAACCATGAAACAGAGGGATGAACACATTGTGATGATGTTAAATCATGGTTAAGTCTTGAAAGATCTTGAAAGATCTTGAAGGACAGGTTCTCAAATGGTTAATTTAATTTACATATCATAGTTGTACGATATCCTTTCAAGTTTTTCAAGCATTTCATACGTTTCAAGATGTTTCAAGTATTCCATGATGATTCCTTGTGTGACAAGTCGGGAATGCGATGCTGTGAGAGGCATGGCTTCTTTAGGCCGCCTTGGACGCAGTGCCTTAGGCCGTGCTCGACGAGGCAGGGGACAGCAATTGACTGCGATTGATACAGTAGGAGTGAAAAATGGAGTGAAATGTGTCCAATAGTCCAATGGAGCAATCAATGGAGATGTCAGCAATCATCACGCTGCGATGCTTGCTTGGTGCAAGTCAAAGATGGTGTTGTAGCAATGTTGTGGCACTGATGTCAATACATCATTGATCATAAAATATAATACATCAATACTCATGATTTTGTGGCTAGACTAGACACAGGGCAAAGCGTTGCAGATTTGTGTAATAGTGTGTAGCTGGGAGCAGTATTCTCAGAGCAGGCTACGCCACCTTGCTTCTTGCTGAGCACAACAATAAATCACTGAACAAGGTGGGGATGCATTTGAACATGTTTGAACAGAGCATGTTTAAACAAGATGCTGTGGACATCTTTGGACGTCAAGATGGGAGCGCAGTTGACTGTGTTGACATGATTTGACAAGTGTCATCAAATGTTTGACACGTGTCATTGGTGTTGGACGGTGTCGGTTGGATTGATTTGGAGTGAAATCACTGCAGGCCACGCTCCATGCGGTGACAGCCGCGCATGCCACTCAGATAGGGCTGATCATTGCCAACCTGCACAAAAAAAAACTATGTTGGAACGTACTGTACGCTACCAAACTTTACCTTGACGACTTGACGATGTCCTTGACGAGCATCAAGAATGAGGTCAAAGCTTCCAGGCTGTACCAGTGTCGATCTCCTCGTAGCTGGCAAAGGTGGCAAACACAGTGGCAAACAGACTGGAAAACACTTACGAAATCTTGCGAACAAAAGATGCAACAAAGAGATGCAAGATGCAGAAAGAGCCTGAGATGTAATTCGATGCCGAAGATGCCGGAGATGTTCTTGAACAACAAAAACCGTGCCAAGACAACATGGAAAAGACATCACAGAAAACAATGCAGATCAATACAAAACACAACTTGGGATACGGTTACTCAAACCTTGCAGCCCTTAGACATAAAATACCAATAAACTATAATAAACTGTTTCAGGATCAGCCAGCAATCTCGAGATAGATAAGGAATGATAAGGATGATAAGGGATCAACATGGATCAACCATGATCAAGCTGAATATGCCAGACTCTGCCAGACAATGCCAGATATTTTTTTTGTCAGATCTCTGTCAGGCTGTGGAGAAGTAGCAAAAGCTGGAGCTTCAACAGAAGGTGTCAGCAAGGCCTCCCCAAACTCCACAGTGAACTTAGCGACGTAGAGAGAGAGAGAGAGTGGCGGTGTGTGAGAGAGTCTCACACGGGTCACATTTTGCTGCGCATGTTTCGCACGTGTCACGTGACGGCGCATCGTGACACATGATCTCACATGGCATGATGATCATGTTGCATCGTGTTGCGCGAATGAGGCTACGCACACAGAATGATGAATAATGCTGACGAATGCCACGTAATGCCCTGCCCGCGCTGGAGCAGGTCCTGGTTGCTGAGTCAGATCAACTGGAGCACCCTGTGGCAGATGTCATGGCAGAGCTGACACTTGACGGCATATTTCAGTGACAGCTGACACGACTCATCCAAGACAACTTGCAGGTTGTCATATTGCCTAGATGCACTGCCATCAGATGCACTAGTATGAACATGTATGAACTATTCTTGGTTGTATTTGTTTGTCAGGATAATTTCGCATGATGAAGCGGCACCATGTTTCAGGAACGTTTCCTTCGAGCGCCAAGCTTCATGCCAACGACAAAATGCTTTGGACATATTTGAAGCCTAAGGCTTGAGGCTCTACAAAAGCAAAACAGCGTCTTGGCATGTCTTGTCTGTAGAAGATGTCAGAATCTCTGAAGATGGGTCGATATGGGTCAACCCACGGAAGCTGCTGAAAAAGTCTGAGAAACTCAGCATTCTCAAACAATCTCAAAATCAAACATTGTTCCCGGCATAACCCAGCACGTGGGTGCGAGGGTTGCTTTGGAGGCCGGCACGTAGACAAGGTGTAGAGTGCCTAGGATGCCTAGGGACTAGTACAGCCTTACCTGCTGAAGGCCCGAGCTCAATCTAAATGGATCTAAATGGCGTAAATCAACGTTCGATGAAACTTTCAGCCGTCGGATTTCTTGAAGTATTTTTTGGCCAACACTTGATGGACGAGCAAAAGCTAGCCTAACTAACCTCTTGAAGTTCCATGACATTTCGCGATGCTCTGGTGTTTTTCGATGCTTGCCCATGTTTGGGTTGGGTTGTCCTTTTTTTGAAAGCTCTCACTCCTTGCTAAGGTTACAAAGTCATTGCTGGTGTCTCCAGCTCCTTGGTGAAGGTCGGTGATACGCTGCTGGCACTGGGGGAGATGGGCATTCCAGACGGATCAAGCTGTGGCAAGAATCACAAGGTGACACTTCGATATTTTATGATATCTATAAGGATACCTATGATAATCTTGGATATTTGGATACTTTCGGCAAGGCCTTGAACGCCCCTTGAGCGCTGCATTTGATGTTATGATACTTGTATGTTATGCATGTCCCAAGTCAGGACCTTTACAGTGTCAACTGTACATAACTGCGCTACCAGAGGCCCCTTTGAATTATTTTGAGCCTAAGCAGAAATGATATATAATTAAGATTAATTAAGCACATACTAATCTTCAAATGAGACAATAAGCAGCAAAGGCATAGTAGAACTACGAAATTTGGCGAGGGAGCAGACCTTGGATGCACCATGCGGCTGTAGCACCAGCCTTCCACTTCCGCAGCTTTTGACAGGAGTGCTTGCCTCGATTAGCAGCCAGCCTAGATGTGCAGCCAGTCACAGACATCGTGGAGGTTGGAGAGGAGCTCAGAACTGGCATGAACTGGCTAAGCAATGTTCTGTTCCCAAGTTTTCAGACATCACGGAAACTTAAGGGTTGAGATAATACTTTAGTGTACCTTAGCATGTTGGGTTCCAAGGGCCATCATCCCGCATACCCCGCGATTATGTGCAGATGTGAATCTAACTTTGCAAAATCCAAGACAAGTGTTTATGTGTAGGAGCCAGATGTTTGTTCAGCAGTTTCTTATGCCAGAGTAGTGGAGAGTTCAAAGCAGTTTCAGACAGTTCCAACATGTTTGAACGACAGGAGGATGGTGTTTTTGCCCGTCCAATGTATGCTGGTAATGCAATTGCTACAGCAGAAGCCTCAACTACACTGTCACCCGAGCACTACAACGACTTTTCCTAGCCCAGCATCAGATGCTGCTCTCACTCTTTGAGGCCTTTGAAATCTTGAAGATCTTGTCAATAGTTATTGTGAAATATCGTGAAGAGTTCCCATGCCAGCTATTGTACAGTCTTACGAATGCAGCAACTAGTGTTCTCCCTAAGGTGAAGACCAGTGATGCAGTGCGACTTTTGACTTTCAGGCAAACAGCTTTCGAGGTGGGAGTTGCTCAGAGTACAACACAGTTTCCATGTGTAAAGTAAATTGTGCTCTGTTTTTTTGCAAAATGGCGGCAGGTTCTTTCATGTTTCCTAAACCTAGAAAGGGAGTGAAAGGGACATTGACATATGTTTCTCAGGGGTTGCTTAAGAATCGTCATCAGCATGACCATTTCCATTTACAGGGAATTATGCGCTTGGCTTGATCCATCCGACTTGACGCAAGTGCAGAATGTAGGGGTGCAGAGACATGCAGTAGAGACATATATAGTACATATAATATCATATAATATCGCATAATATCATATAATATAATACTATCATATAATATCATATAATATCATATAATATCATATAATATCATATAATATCATATAATATCATATAATATCATATAATATCATATAATATCATATAATATCATTATAATATCATTATAATATCATATGATTACAATATACATGCATGCATGCATGCATGCATGCATACATCCATACATCCATACATCCATACATCCATACATCCATACATCCATACATCCATCCATCCATCCATCCATCCATACATACATACATACATACACGTATATATATATATATATATATATACACAGCATGTACCAGCATGATACCAGTATGTAATGTAGAAAGAGCACTTCCAGGACATGCACATCACATGCACATCACATGCACATCACATGCACATCACATGCACATCACATGCACATCACATG